CCCTGACTCCTCATCCTCCTTCGGGGCCTTTCCCTGCGGGCGAGGGTCCCTGGGCAATGTGCAGCCCCCGCCCCTGGCTCCCCGCCCATCCTGCTGGGTGCTCGGGAGCCCCCCAGGAGGGGCGGGGCTGGGCTGGGCTATGATGGGCTGGGCTGGGCTGGGCTGGGATAGATGTGTCCATGGGGCCCCTGCCTGTCTGGGTGCTGCCTGCTGCTCCCCCCCGGCCCCCAGCTGAGGGACACAGGGGTCACCCTGGGGTGTCTCCGGCGTGCAGGGGTCCCATGTGGGGCATCTCACAGGGCCTGGTTAGTCACACTGGGGGTTTTGGGGTGCTCAGTGGCTCTTTGGGTCACTGAGGTGTCTGAGGGGCTCGTTGGGGGTCACTGTGGGGGACCCTGGGGGTGCGGGGCATCCCCGAGGCCTGACTGGGGTGTTGGGAGGGTGCAGAGCGGTCACGCTGGCTCAGCTCCAGAGCTCATCTGGGGTCTCTCCAAGGCACCTCGTGATGTGTGGGGGGGTCTCTCTCTGGAGCATCTTGGGGATGCAGTGGGGTCTCCCTGGGGTACCCCTGGGGCTGGGCTGGGGTCTCTGCAGGGTGTCTTGGGGGACACAGGGAGGCTGCGCCGGGGCATCTCCATCAGGACCTGTTTGGGGTCCCCCCAGGGCGTATTGGGGGACACAGCGGGGCCTCTCAAGGGATGCAGTGGGGTCTCCCTGGGGTACCCCTGGGGCTGGGCTGGGGTCTCTGCAGGGTGTCTTGGGGGACACAGGGAGGTTGCCCCCGGGGCATCTCCACCAGGACGTGTTTGGGGTCCCTGCAAGGTGTCTTGGGGGACACAGCGGGGTCTCTCCAGGGATGCAGTGGGGTGTCTCCGGGGCCACCCCGGGGTCTCTGCAGGGTGTCTTGGGGGACACAGCGAGGTTGCCCCCGGGGCATCTCCACCAGGACCTGTTTGGGGTCTCCCCGGGGGGTCTTGGGGGACACAGCGGGGTCTCTCCAGGGATGCAGTGGGGTGTCTCCGGGGCCACCCCGGGGTCTCTGCAGGGTGTCTTGGGGGACACAGCGAGGTTGCCCCCGGGGCATCTCCACCAGGACGCGTCTGGGGTCCCTGCAAGGTGTCTTGGGGGACACAGCGGGGTCTCTCCAGGGATGCAGTGGGGTGTCTCCGGGGCCACCCCGGGGTCTCTGCAGGGTGTCTTGGGGGACACAGCGAGGTTGCCCCCGGGGCATCTCCACCAGGACGCGTCTGGGGTCCCTGCAAGGTGTCTTGGGGGACACAGCGGGGTCTCTCCAGGGATGCAGTGGGGTGTCTCCGGGGCCACCCCGGGGTCTCTGCAGGGTGTCTTGGGGGACACAGCGAGGTTGCCCCCGGGGCATCTCCACCAGGACGCGTCTGGGGTCCCTGCAAGGTGTCTTGGGGGACACAGCGGGGTCTCTCCAGGGATGCAGTGGGGTGTCTCCGGGGCCACCCCGGGGTCTCTGCAGGGTGTCTTGGGGGACACAGCGAGGTTGCCCCCGGGGCATCTCCACCAGGACGCGTCTGGGGTCCCTGCAAGGTGTCTTGGGGGACACAGCGGGGTCTCTCCAGGGATGCAGTGGGGTGTCTCCGGGGCCACCCCGGGGTCTCTGCAGGGTGTCTTGGGGGACACAGCGAGGTTGCCCCCGGGGCATCTCCACCAGGACGCGTCTGGGGTCCCTGCAAGGTGTCTTGGGGGACACAGCGGGGTCTCTCCAGGGATGCAGTGGGGTGTCTCCGGGGCCACCCCGGGGTCTCTGCAGGGTGTCTTGGGGGACACAGCGAGGTTGCCCCCGGGGCATCTCCACCAGGACGCGTCTGGGGTCCCTGCAAGGTGTCTTGGGGGACACAGCGGGGTCTCTCCAGGGATGCAGTGGGGTGTCTCCGGGGCCACCCCGGGGTCTCTGCAGGGTGTCTTGGGGGACACAGCGAGGTTGCCCCCGGGGCATCTCCACCAGGACGCGTCTGGGGTCCCTGCAAGGTGTCTTGGGGGACACAGCGGGGTCTCTCCAGGGATGCAGTGGGGTGTCTCCGGGGCCACCCCGGGGTCTCTGCAGGGTGTCTTGGGGGACACAGCGAGGTTGCCCCCGGGGCATCTCCACCAGGACGCGTCTGGGGTCCCTGCAAGGTGTCTTGGGGGACACAGCGGGGTCTCTCCAGGGATGCAGTGGGGTGTCTCCGGGGCCACCCCGGGGTCTCTGCAGGGTGTCTTGGGGGACACAGCGAGGTTGCCCCCGGGGCATCTCCCTGGGCGCCAGCACGGCAGCGCAGAGGTAAGGGGCTCCGCGGGCACCCCGGGCACTGTGGGCATCCTGGTCACCGCGGGCATCCTGGTCACCGCAGGCACCCCGGGCTCCACGGGCATCCCGGGCTCCACGGGCATCCCGGGCTCTGCGGGCATCCAGGGTTCCATGGGCATCCTGGGCTCCACGGGCATCCCGGGCTCCGCAGGCATCCAGGGTTCCACGGGCATCCCGGGCTCCACGGGCATCCCAGTCTGCACAGGCATCTTGGGTGCCACGGGCTCCATGGGCTCCATGGGCATCCCAGGCTCTGCAGGTTTCCTGGGCTCCACAGGCATCCCGGGCTCCGTGGGCATCCCAGGTGCTGTGCCCATGCCTGC